GAATTGAATCAAATATTTTGTCAATTTGAATTTGATTTGATTTGAAATTTCTGTATTTGAATTTGATTTGAAATCAATATTTAATCAAATCAAATCAAATCAAATTGTAGAACTCTAGTAACTAGCTTATATACTAAGTAAAAAAAAAAAAAACTAATATAAGGCGGGTCTACATGATGGTTTAACTAAATCCAAGAAGACCATTCAAAGAGAAAAAAAAAATTCTAAAAGAGTGAGTTAAAAAAATAAGAGAAGAAAGACAACTTTAAAAAATTAGCATAGGAAGAAAAAAAATAAGCCTTTTTTTTATTTTTTCAACATTCAATTTTTCTAACATTCTATTTTTTTGATGGCTTATTTTTATTGATGTTTCATTTTTTTGACGTCTCATTTTTTGATATCTTATTTTTTTTATATCAATAGTTAAAAAAAATATAATCATGAAATTACTATACCACTCATTTATTATATTATATATAGATAAATTAGCACTATATACTTTTTTTTAAATATTATATAAAAGATAATGTTCAAATTAGCATAATTTTGTGTTAGGTTTTGAAAAAGTTGGACAATTTTGATCATGATTAATTAGCTTTATGATATAAATAAAACCATCTTTACATTTATTAGCAGAAATAGTAAATAGAAATTTACTGTCTTTGTTTGTAAGTAGATAAGGTAAAAATGTTTCAACATAATAACTCTAGAGCTGAGTACTTTTCAAATTAGTAAATGTCATTCCAAGTTTTAGTGTCATGGTTTGCTATAATGATAAGCAATTTTATAAATAAATAAAATTTATTGTATTTATGAAGTCAAAGACACTTTCTATTTATAATTTTTTTTTTTTGTATTAAGGGAACCTCTTTGGTCTAGGGAATGTTTTATTAGAATGTAAACAGAGTTTTATAATGTAGTTACAACAATGGTATATCAAGCCACACATGTACCTATGAGTGCCTAATTTAAGTAATCTACCTGAAGATTCTACACTATCTGCTATACCTGCACCCCAACTAGGAAGGTACTCATTTAAACTATCTGGTTTAACTACCTCCATTATAACCCTAACTCATGGGTATTACTCACTATATAGTAGTGGGTTTTGAATCTATCTAATTTGGAATTTGCACTCTACCTTAGGACTTACTAACTTAAGCTAATCTATCCTTGAGGTAAACCTAACAGAGCGGTACATGTCCTACACATGTATTCACCCACATGTTCTGTAATGGCTTCCTAATTAGTATATATTAATCTGCTGTTCCATATTCATATCTTACACCACTTTTGGGGTGCTGCCATTTTACGGACATTTCTCAAGCATCAATCTTCCTAATTAAATACCTATTACATACTCCTTGCTCTTATCCAGTTCACAACAACCCCAATACTCACATTCAGACTGTTTTCTTACCCGTATTCTTTATAAGTTCCTCTCTTACTTCCAGCTAGCAACCTGGAAGGGTTGGTCTGCCCAGGCTTTAGATACCTGAAGAATGCCCTTCTCTTGGTCCATACTTTTAGAGCATATGTCTTTTTCCTCTGGTATAACAATCCAGTGGTTCAGCTGGTGTGTTCTCCACCATAGAACCTAGTTGCTCGGTTCTCTGATCTTAGGCCCGGTTCAAATTCAGCCATCCTGTGATACCGTTAAAAATTACTGCTACTACCAGATTTGGGTCTTCCCAAATAGGTTTTTGATTATGCTAGTTCCTTGGGTTTATTGTGCCAAAGCTCCCATTACTAGATGGTATAACTTTCTATTTATAATTTATAATTACTAATTTACAATTTATTATTATATTTATCAATGATTACATTTCTTATATACCTGATAATGTAAACTTATTAATGATGATCAAGCTACAGACTTGAATAAGTTTCGTGTGTTGTGCTTTTATTTTAGACACTTATATGTAATTATTTTTAATTTGAGCTCTTAACTGTAATTATTTGTAAATTCTCCTAAAAAAAAATCATTTAGTTAATTTTATCAGACATTTTAGAAATTATAAAATTTTGAAATCATGTATTCATATTAGAATAAATAATGTAAATACATAAATAAAGTATAATAATTCTCAATAAAAGAATAATATTATACTATTTCTTATGCAGAAATTAAATTATAGCTTGATTTTTTTTCTTTATTTTTTTCATAATAAAACTATAATTAAATCATTATACAATGTTACTATTAAAGTGTTATTATTTTATCCAAAAAATTAAGATTATTTTTTCTAAACTTCATCTTTTTTAGATCATAACAAACAGTTATATATCATTTTTATAATGTCTACAAATAACTAATTTCTTATCTTTACTCAAGAAGAAGACAATATGAGTAATGATTCTTCAAATACTATAACAAGGGATGGCTAGGTTGGTTTAGATTCGGTTTTGGTTTCAAAACCTTTAGGTTTTATTTATAAACCTAAAAAACTTGGTTTTTAAAACCTAGGTTCCAAACTTGGGTTGGTATAGTTCAAAACCTGGTTCGGTTTAGTTTAAGTTCCAAAACCTAGTTCTGAAACCTGGTTCAGTTCGGGTTAAGTTCTGGAACCAAGTTCTAGAACCTAGTTCGGTTCGGGTTAGGTTCCAAGACCTAGATCTGGAACCTAGTTTGGTTTGGGTTAAGTTCCAGAACCTAGATCTGGAACCTGGTTTGGTTCGGGTTAAGTTCCAGAACTTAGTTTTGGAACCTGGTTTGGTTCGGATTAAGTTCCAGAAGTTTATAGAATGACTTTTTTCAGATTGGCTAAAGCTTTAAACAACCTTTAGCATGTTTACCAAATCCCCATTATAATGATAATTAAAGTATAGTTAGACCCTCTTGGCCAGAAGTTGAGCGTAGAGTTAATACTAATCCGGATTTATACTATAATAAAAACCGGATTGTAGTATTAACTCTGAGAGTGCATTCGAAGAGGCTATACACTTAAAGAGACTGTGTTTAAAAAGGTCTCACTATATGTAATGATCTGGGTTATAAATCGATAGAACAGAGTTCAAGACCATAGAATAAGTAAATAGATTATTTAAATGTTCATACGAATAAAATCCAATAAAAATTTATTTGACTAATACTAATTCAATTGTACTCTATATAGTTATTTTATATTGTTCATTTATATAATAAATCAATGTTAAAATAAAAAAAAATTGTCATACACCTAATTTTTCATGTGATCCGATAATATACAGGAAAAAAAAAGGGGTAAATAAAACTTTAAATTACCTCCAAAAAAAAATCTATTGCTATGTTTATTCTTAATTCAACCGGATTCGGCTTAATAAAAAGACATTATAAATTAATTAATTTATTTTTTTTTTCATATCGATATTAAATTTTAAATTAAATGCTGACCATTTTTTCTACAACCACCTCATTCCCAATCCAACTTTTAGCACACAATGATGCTCTTGAGGTTTCCGGATCAAGCCTGTTTCGAGATCGTGACATAGTGTTGGCTGCTACTGAGAAAGCTTGTTCACAAGTGACACTGGTCGCTTGAATCGACAAGTAATCTTTAGCCATACAAGCTCATGCGCCTGCCACCACAACGGTTCTACCCTAAAATCCCGAAAGACAGTTTCCCGAAAAAGACATAATATCGACAAAGTTAGCCAGCATTAGTTATAATGCTGGCTAATTTAGTCAGTATTATGTCCTTTCGGGAAAATGGCTTTCGGGATTTCAGAGTAGAACCCACCACAACAGGGAAGCAACATTCTCATCACAAGGCTAAGTATCGTTCTAATTCATCTGTAGCTTTCTGATTTATTTCAGAAATTGATTCATTATGATGTCGTTTAAGTCCATAAAAGTAATTACGTGTTGTAATAATATTATCCTTTACTCTGTTAAGTGAAATATTTGTTGATTTATTTGATGAAGTAATATATTGATCAAATATTTCTCTGATTTTATTAATCGCTTCAGTGGTTCGGGCTCCTATCTCAAACAATGAAAGTTTAGATTGTGGGTCTAGAATTGTTGCGATAGTCGTCTCATTATCGATTATAGTTTCATATTCCTTAATTTTTTTGCTAATTGATGAGGCCAGAAGATATTGACTAAAATTATCATCATCTATATAGCTTTGGAGATATACTTGGATGCTACTAAATACGAATCGAATGTCTGCAATAGTCAGGTATGAAGACGCAGATAATAATTTTGTGGTCTTTTCTAGTGGTTCCATTAAGATAAGTATTTCCTAAGTTAAAATATTTGAACTATATTAGTTATCTAACATGTTATTATAGTGTACTAAGATAGTTGAAGTTTTATTATTGAACAAGACTTGGTAAAATATATATCACAGCTCTAGAAAAGCTCTTGCATTTGTTTGAGAACTGTTATGCGATGAGAATTCCCTATATAGATAAAAAATAATAGTTATTAGAGTAAAGAATTATAATAAGAAATAAAAGTACTTTATATAATATATGTACTATATAATAAGATATGATCATAGGAAGATAAATTAAATAAAAAAAGTATAAAAAAGTATAAAGTAGTTAATTAAAAGTAAATGATATAAATGATGTAATAGAATATAAAAGACAAAGGAAATAAATAAAGATTAGTTTTTCATATATAGGACAATAACGTAGTTATTACATCAGTATTGAATATTATCGTATAGCAATATTGTTAATGCTATACCAAAATTTTGCTCGTTGAGTTTTAAAATTCTTATTAGACAGAACTGATAATAATCTTCTCTGTCTAATAAGAATTTTAAAGCCCAATACTATATTATCAAAATTTGGTGCAGCAATCGTAACAATAGCTAGACGATAATACTATTATTGTATGGATAGATAAAAAATCGATACGATGGTATGAATATATATTAGTTATCGCACCAAATATCTGTCAAAGATATATGGACTGTAGTCACGGCTCATATATCCCTGGCAGATATTTGATCTAATTACTAATATACGCCTATACCACCGTACTAATATTTTTTTACCTACCATATGATAACTTACAAATATGTAGCTTTCAGCCACGATTATTTACTATGTACCTATACAATCCTATTAGGATGGATGATAGTAAAAATTCATTTTAAGGTTTCTGATTTGAACTTATAATAGCTATTTAACTCTGAGCAATATATATGCTATATTGTTGGTTAGACAATTCGGGCATGTGATTTTTAAAAGAATAGTTTTAGAAGTCAAAGAAGCGATAAGAAGGAAGATTAGTAATGCAAAAAAAAATCAATTAAATTCAAAATTTTCAATAATAAAAATAAGAATACTTCTATTTTATTAGGTATAAAAAAATCTGGATCTTATTAAACTTTCTTGCTAAATTTGTTTTTTTTTTATAAAAAATTGTTAGATACATATATATATAAAAGAAATAAATTTGAACAAATAGAGTACTTACATAGATTCTTAGTTTTGAGAATCACTTAATTTCTAATTTTTTAATTAAAGTAATTGGTTCTAATACTGCTAATAATTGTGATAGCACAAAAACTTTTGAAGAAGCGGTGATATATCACATAAGTGGTAAATAATTTTTAAAAATACTACAATATTTTTACTTTAATTTTCTCCCATGTTTCTGTTGTAGGCATTAATTTTTGAATGTCAAAATGTTTAACAGCTAACATTCGTAAAGCTGTTTGCATCCTGACTATTTTTTTTAACATATAATATGTGCTATTCCATTTTGTTGCAATATCTAGTTCTGGCCTTAAATAATCTAGCTTTTGCACACTACACAAATCTCGTAATTCATCATATAAATTTATTGATGATTTAATTTTTGACATTAATAATCGAACACCAGCAATTTCTTACTCAATGACCTCTAACCCATGATATGCTGCTAAATTTAGGATATGTGCGGTACATTTATAATGGCAAAAGCTTTGATTAATCAATTCTCTATATAAACTATCTGTTAAGGTTTTTCCACAAACTAACATTGCCGATGCATTATCGGTAGTAAGAGCTAATACTTTATCTGTAAGTTTAAATTCCACAAGAAGATTATTAATTGCAGTTGCTATATTTATTCCTGTATGACGTTCAGTAAAAGGAATAATGTCTAATAGAAATCGATGAAATTTCCAATCTTGATTGACATAGTGAATAGTAATTTCAAGAAATGCTTGGTTATTTATAGATGACCACATATCTGCTGTTAAAGAAACTTTTCCTAAAATTTCAGATAAAACATTAGTTATTTTAGTTCTTTGTTCATTGAAATAGCTTATAATCATATCTTTAACTTGATGACGATTAGGAACTTTGTATTGTGAATCTAAGATATCTATCATTTTAAGAAATTTTTTATTTTCAACAACATGAAATGACTGCTGGTCTAAAATAATTCAACTAATTAAAGCTATATTACATTCTTTTTTTTGCTTTTAAGGCCATGGATCATTATGGGCAAATGCTAGTTTTGATTGAGTTTTTATTCGTGGAATTATAATATTATGTTGGCTTTTTAAATGACCTTCCAAAGTCAAATTTTCAGATTTTTCTGAAAATTCAAGTTTACATTTAAAGCAAACTGGATTACTTGGTTTTTTACAGTAAAAAAAAAATGCTACCACAAAGGTGATGGCTTGTTTGATAAAATTATATCTGTATCTTGCGCTGAAGGTGATGTGGAATTAGTTTCTAATGTTGAAGTATTTGGTTCTAATGTTAATATTGGTGAACTTGAATTTATCTCTAATACTGAAGATGGTGAACTAGTGTTTATTTCTAATGTTGAAGATAGCAGTTTATTGTATAAAGAATTATTATCATAACTATAATCATCTTCATAATATTCATAATCTTCATTTCTATAATCAGAATCTTGTTCAGAATTTATATTTAATGATATAGTATTGAGTTGTTCTCAACTTGATCTTTATAATATATATATACGTATGAAACCTCTCTAATTGCACTTTTATTGAGTACACAATCTCTTTAAACATGCTTTCAAAATTTGAACTAAACATATTTTTAATCATTATAAACGTATAGCTTATTGTTCTCTAAATACATGTATTAAAAATTTGATCTCTATATTGTGCATTTACAGAGGTCTAATCATATATACAAATATGAGTTATAATTGAAAAACAATTGTACTATATGTCTAAGAATCGACTTATTATAATAATAACAGGTTGAATCAATGAATATTGAATGTATGCTATGAGAAAACTTTTCCAATATGTACTTGTTAGTCCATTATAGATCTGCCAAATATCTGCTAAATATTAGCAGAATGTTGGCAGCATAGTAGTAAGATATCAGAAGATAGATTAATATCAAATATAACAGCAAACTATTATAATACTCTGATATCTTACTTTTGGGCCCAGAGTGCTAAGAGTAAGATATCAGAGTATCCCGATATTGTGCTATTATGTTACTGATATCAATCTACCTTCTGATATTTTACAAATATGCTGCAGGTATTTGGCGAATCTATGGCAAACTAATAAATATATATTAGGAAACTTGTTTCTTGGTAAACTTATTGATTCAACTTGTAAATGCCTTGTTTATATTCAAAAGATAAGTAAAACAATTAAATATTAAATAATTGCCAAGATAATTATAATTAATAAAAAAATTAGTTTCTTTTAACAAAGAACAAATGTGAGTATTACAAAGCTCACATATCTAATCGTACTGGTATAGATTTTTCATGTTCTGTAAATTTCTGTAAATAGAGAACAAGAAAGTTTACTGATATAAATTATATGAATTTTATCATTAGTATATATGCCAAAAGCTAAAGAAATAGAATATGCAAAATAGCCAAATACTTTTCAATATTATACTTTATAGAAATAAGCTAACCTTATTATCTCACTCTATTTTAATACTATGTATTAATAACAATAATATAAAATCCAATGTATATAGTATTATTTAGTACTCACTTCTATATTTGTATTAGTTTATTGTAAAACAATATTTTAATATTGATACATATTGTATGCATATATAGTAGCTAGTAGTCTATATACGCAGTGTTGTACATGGGACATGTCTACACTATGTAAAATGTCCAACATCCAAAATTGTCCAAAATCGTCCAAGCCTATGTCCCATGTTTAACTAATCAATAAAGTAATTTAAAAAAATATATAATTATATATTTTTTTAGGTGCTAGACTCATTGGTAAAAAATTAAAATAGATTATCTTAATAAAATTTTGCGTAATTTTAATTTGAAAAAATGTCCAAGATTGTCCAAAATTGTCCCATGTATAACACTGTATATACATATATACCAAATAAAAGATCTGATATCATACATGAACATGCAAAAGCAATATAAAAATATGCAAGCAATTACAGAAAGATATATACGTAATATAAAACTTATTATGACTACTATGAATCTAAAGACCTACTATGAACCTAAAAACCTATTACGAATCTAAAAACCTGTTTGAATCTAAAAAACCTAAAAACCTATTTGAACCTAAAAAACCTAAAAACCTATTATGAATCTAAAAACTTAGATTTCAAAATTGAAACCTGGTTTTTAAAAACTAGGTTCCAAAAACTAGGTTCCTAGGTTCTGACCTAGGAACTTTACCAACCCTAACTATAACTAATTAGAAAGTAGGGTTCCTAGGTTCAGTTCAGTTCAAATTTAGGTTCAATGAACCTGAACTGAACCTGAACCTGAACCACAAAT